CTTGCTAAAATCTTTTCAACAGATTTTTAAAAAAGAATTAATACATATTTATATTAAAATAAAAAGATATCAAAGATATTATGATTGAAGTGGCTACAAAGAAATGAAATATAGTTAACAAATCTTTTTTTGCTAATGGTCCAAATAAAAAAAAATCACACATGAAATGAGTCATGACTTCTCTTTTAATATAATAGATTTTCGTCAATTTTCTCATAACTTAGGCTTCTGTTCCTTGATAAGTTTATAAAAGTTCATATTACTTGGGCCACGTAATAATAAAATAGAATGGGCCTCTAACTAGAATGGAAACCCAGCCATTATTCTTGAATGAAAAACCAAGAATCCAAGTTAGGCCGATATTTAATACCTAGTCTTCAACGATTCGTTGACAAAAAAAAATCTTCAACCATTCAACCACTAAGGTGATTAGCCAATTGGGTTATAGTTGTTGTCTATCTCCAAACTAAACAATGAAGCTACTCTTGTAAAATAATCCATCTCCTAGCTTCTATGGGCCTGTCGTGAGGGTCAAACTCTATATATTCCTTTGGTTCGAGTTACCCTTATGTAGGTACACATGGTTTGTTGTGTGTAGCCGGTGAAAGGATGTGCGTTCATACTTACTAGTTCAGTAAAATATTTGAGACAAATTCGAACTGAAATTCAGAATGGTGAGAGTACGGTCATCATCCACTTAATCATCTTTACATCCTATTTTAAGTGAAACCATAAGATAATACGTCGAGAATTAATTATGGTGACGAATCAATCCATTAAAGCAAAGTTCAAACAACCTTGTTTTCTTCCCATGATCTCAATCAGCAACCCATTTAAATTTGACACTTTGCATATACTAATTTATTTAATATTTTTTTAAAGATTATGACCCTTTACAATTTTTTTTTTTTTTTGAACGGGACCCTTTACAATATACTTAGAGAATCCAATGAAAATAAAATTTGATGAACTGAAAATGGTTTAGTTTTTCAGCAACGTAAATAATGTCAGATCTATATCCGAGTGATGCCACAAAGATGATGGTAATACCAATAACTAGGCGGCATGATTGACCGATACTTATATATCTAGTCTTGAAGGATTCTATACCATTTTGAATTTATGATGGTTTGGTAATTGAGTTATGAATGTTGCTTTTTTACAAATTAAAAAATAAATCCACTCATTAAATAATCAATCCACTAACTTCTTTAGACTTATTGTGGCCAACAACAGGAAAGTGGTCTCCTTTCAACTTTTTCTTCAATCCCACCATTTCCATGAACAATTAATAAATAAAACCCAAAAAGCATTAGGAGATATTTGCATTAATAATAAGATGATGGATAAATCAAATAGTGCTATTTCAAAGTATTTTATAATTAGCGCAGTCTCATTATTAACACACAAACTAAACTCTTACTTTTTCTTAAACCGGAGTTAACTTAGATGGTGTTACCAAAAAAAAACTTGTACGGTGTTACCTCCTTAGAGATTATATATAGTGACAAAGCAAAGGCATGGGCTTCTCTCTCTTTTTTGACAAGGTGTGTAAGAGCACATCAAACACGTTCATAAACTTGCCTTTTTCATAGAGAAAAGGAGAAGAAGATGGGTTTATTGCAACTAATGAAGAAACTAGGTTTCGTCTTTCTTCTTGTTTCAGCTCTTGCTCTCTCTTCTGCAGGTTTGTTTGTTTCCCTCTTTCTCCATATTTTGTTTACAGCTTTTCACGCAGCTTCGTGTGCGTATTACTTGCTCACTCTTTTAGAAAGTACGATTAATACATGTGCTGCACATGTGCATTTCTAAACAAATCTCTTCATTTTTTGTAGGCCGGCCATCCATTCTAATCTATAGCCAAGATGATAATAATCAGGAGGTTAGTCGTTGTATATTTATGGTTATTATTCCTATAGCAAAATATAATCAAAGAAGTAGTTAGAAGATTTCAAGAATAACTGAAATGATGTATACGTTGGTGAATAAAGTATGTTCTATATGTGAACAGTTGGTGGAGAGAAGGATACATGAACATGAGAGAATTTTGAGGATGAATTCAAGAGACTATGGTCACTTCAGTCCTAAACCAAAGCTCGTCAGGCCTCCTTTTAAGCTTATTCCAAACTGATTCCTATCATGGATCAACTATATAGATGCCGACTTTATGAGGTGTATGATATATATACCATAAGACTAACACTGTAAACTATCATTAATGTTTGAAGATATGTTATGTAGTAAACGTACGATCTATAGTCTTTGAGTGTGAGTTTTGTGAAAGTGCATGTCACTTTCATCACTACAATATATTGTTTGGTTATCATGGAATTTTGCTATTAATGGACGATAAGGCATTATTGAGCTAGTCACTTACTAAGTCAAGATGTATTTTCAAAAAAAAATTTGGAAGCATTCACTAGAGTTCAATTTTAAATCTCATGATTATATTATTGTACCAAAACAAATAAACCAGTGAATATCTTCTGCTTCTATATGATAAACACACAAAAATAGACATCTTGATATAACAATAATAGGAAAATTGCATCCTATAGCTACAAAAAAAAAACAAATTAGGTAACTAACCAAATTTTTATTCTCTCTCTTTCATTCTCTTCTTATCTCTCTCTAAAAATCTATTTTTTATGGCTATTTGACAAATAAACCTAACGTAATATCTATATCAGCAATTTTACAAAAATACTTAGGGAATTCTAGATCAAGCTATATAGTCAAATTGGTTTTTAATTAATCAAATATTTTATATGAATATTGCAATTTAGTATAGAAAATGTCAGACCGCATGCGTTTAAGTACAGAAAACCAGGATTAGTGTTCATCTCTTAAAGCTTTCAAATATCATTCCCCCACCTCTATATTTTGTTTGGTCCCGGTGGCCTAACTTTAGTTATGTATTTGTCTTACACAAATGAATGTTTTCTTTATAGAATTGTTTTTTTGTTTGGGACCAACTTTTATCAACTACTGAACTGAGACTGATCATAACATCACTTACACCTACTCTTTATTCCTCTTCAATCCATAGCTCTCTTCTTCGAGCTACAAATTCTATGTGATAACCAAATATGAAGAACATATCCTGTTCTAGCCACTCTCAGGGTTTACAGTTTTACATACTCTAGTTCAGCTCCGGGAATGGCATGCTCGTAAATATCCGCCCCGGGAAAGCTGTTGTTCGCCTCACAGCTAGACATAGCAACAACAAATTATCATCTCCTTGCGAATTTTGAAGCCCTATAGTAAAAGTAAAACACACACTACCACCACCAAAGCTTGACATCTCATATATTGGCTCAACCGGCCACCATCCATCTAACCGCCCTGGGCGGTGCCATGATCCGGTTTAATCTGGTCTTGCGAAAACTCCTGATCTCGATCCTCAACATTAGCAACAACATGGCCTATACCTAAGACGTTTTCGATGTTTTTTCGGAGGACGAGTTGGAATCACTCGATGTATTCATCATTTTTTGGTCATTTTTATATTTCTTCAGACTCTGTATATAAGAGCTTTCCACTGAAGATGCTTGTCCCAAACTTTTTTTTGCTCTCAGACGTGCCTTGTCTTTCCATAAGGAAAAACCTAACATCCTTTTCTCATTTGGCAAGACTTGTCATTTTTGCAAAATCAAAATAATATATTATATTATGGGCTTATATCCAACTAAAGAAAAATATGGGCTTATATTACCGAAGCTCAATCAATCATTGTATGTTACAAACCCATATTGAGAATTCACCAAACTTCTTAGTCCAGCAGATACAACAAAAGACCAAACATAACATCAAACTCCTTTCACATAAACACACAAAGCTTAGCTCATTGCTGCACTCCCTAGTTCAAGATCTCACCTGTAATGGGTGAAAGATGGAGGTTGGTGGATTGCTGTCCATTCTTGGAACCTACAACAACCATAGGCTTTGGAGGAATCAAACCGGCCCTGAAGAGCATGTTCTCGACTGAGTCTGTTGGTTGAGCTCCAACCGATAGCCAGTACCTGCAGAGGGTAAGAAATCAGATAATATGCAAGAGAATCGATTTCTTTCAAAATATGCGGTTTGAAAGATGACAATATGCAATCATAATTCAAGCAAAAAAAAAAAAAAACAAGGATCATGGAAAACTTGCAATAGATCAAAGGGAAGATGACAGTTATCCATGACTAGAGAAAATTATGTTAAAAGGAAAAACAGAGACACTCCTAGTGATGATGCATTAGGTGTAGAAACAAAAGGACTAAGATACAAAGAGATGAGAACTTTAATGTCATCAAAACTAAAGATACTCATGTGATGATTGTGAGTATACAATTATGCAGCATAATATAGACACAAAGGCAAGCTCATGGTAACACTTGAAATTGAAAGCTTTTCTTTGGGATTGCAAAGAAGAAGAAGAATCAGGATAGTTGTCAAGCCATGTTCTAAAAATCAGTCTAGGCCTAGTCGTCAAATCGGAACTGAATGATTTTTCTCTAGGCGCTCAAAAAATTGGTCCCAACTAATCAATAATCCGATATAAAAAGCTTAACTACGTCCTAGCGATTTCTTGAACACTTGTGTCAACGGCTGTTTCAGCCATATCAAATTATCATGATTTTTTTACATTTTATACCCCTAAATATACATGGAAACGTGAAAAATGAAGAAGGTAGAATCATACTTGATTCTGTCGAATTTGAGACTCACTCTGTTCGCATCCTCTTTTCCTGAAAAGATTACAAAAGTAAATTCATGTAAGGCATAGACATGGAAAATGACAGAGGAAGGTAGAGAGGAGAAGATGATTCGGAACCTTGCAGTGGATCATAAAATCCTAAAACCTCGATCTGTTTCCCGTCCCTCCTGGATTTGTCATTCGCAGCGACAATACGATAGAAGGGTCGGTGTTTGCAACCGAGACGCGCGAGCCTTATCTTCAACGTCATTTCTACTGCTTGATAACGGGTAAGGTTTTAAGCTGGAGTTTGTGTGTGTTCTCTCACCCCTATCCGTATTCTATATATCCATGGAGATAAGCTAAAAACAACGTGCCGTTAAAGTTTACTAGAAACGACATGTATTGCTCTTATTCCATGGACTATTATATTTATCGGGCCACTGATTCGTCGTAACCCATATAATTTGATTTTTGATTATATGGCCCAGGTGATATGATTTGGATTTGTAAATATCTTTTTTTTTTTAAATGTGATTTTATTTAAGAACATCCACAACTTTCCGATAAGTTTGTACATTTGATTCCAGCCAGATATCCAAAATTTTGAGATATATTTTCAGAGAAATCAGACTTATTGGTATCCACATTAGAGTTTACAACTTTTTTTTGGCAAGACTTGTCATTTTTGCAAAATCAAAATAATATTTTATATTATGGTGCTTATATCCAAACTAAAGAAAAATATGGGCTTATATTACCGAAGCTCAATCAATCATTGTATGTTACAAACCCATATTGAGAATTCACCAAACTTCTTAGTCCAGCAGATACAACAAAAGACCAAACATAACATCAAACTCCTTTCACATAAACACACAAAGCTTAGCTCATTCCTCACCGCATCAACAATCCTAGTTCAAGATCTCACCTGTAATGGGTGAAACATGGAGGTTGGTGGATTGCTGTCCGTTCTTGGAACCTACTACAACCATAGGCTTTGGAGGAATCAAACCGGCCCTGAAGAGCATGTTCTCGACTGAGTCTGTTGGTTGAGCTCCAACCGATAACCAGTACCTGCAGAGGGTAAGAGAGATCAGATATAATCATATGCAAGAGAATCGATTTCTTCCAACATCTGCGCTTTGGAAGATACAATTTGCAATCATACAAGCAGAGAAATTCAAGGATCATGGAAAAGTTGCAATAGATCAAAGGGGAGATGATAGTTATCCATGACTAGAGAAAGAGAAACAGAGACATTCCCAGTGATGCAGCACTAGGTGTATTAAAACCAAAGTTACTCATCTGATTATTGTTATTTGTTACATTAGAGAGTATACAATTACGCTGAATAATATTGACACAAGTACAAGCTTATTAATAACACTTGAAATTGAAACCTTTTTCTTATGAGATTGCAAGAAGAAGAATCATCTGGATAGTGTCAAGCAATATTTTTCTCTAGGTGCTCAAAAATTTGGTCTCAACTAATCAACAATCCCATAGAAAGCACTTAACTACAGCCTAGCAATTTCTTGAACACGGAAACAGGAAAATGAAGAAGGTAAAATCATACTTGATTCTGTCGAATTTGAGGCTAACTCTGTTCGCATCCTCCTTTCCTGAAAAGATTACAAAAGTAAATTCATGTAAGGCATAGACATGGAAAATGATTAAGGAAGGTAGAGAGAGGAGAAGATGATTCGGAACCTTGCAGTGGATCATAAAATCCTAAAACCTCGATTTGTTTGCCGTCCCTCCTGGATTTGTCATTCGCAGCGACAATACGATAGAAGGGTCGGTGTTTGCAACCGAGACGCGCGAGCCTTATCTTCAACGTCATTTCTACTGCTTCAAGGTTTTAAGCTGGAGTTTGTGTGTGTTCTCTCACCCCTATCCGTATTCTATATATCCATTGAGATAAGCTAAAACAGCGTGCCGTTAAATTTCATTAGGAACGACATGTATTGCTTTTTACATGGGCTATTATATTTATGAGGCCACTGATTCGTCGTAACCCATGTAGTTTGATTTTGATTATATAGCCCAGATAATATGATTTGGATTTGTAAATATCTTTTTTAAAAATGTGATTTTATTTTATTTTATTTTATTCTACTTAAGAACATCCACAACTTTCTGATAACTTTGTACATTTAATTCCAGCCAGATATCCCAAATTTTGAGATATATTTTCAGAGAAATCAGATTTATTGGTTACAAGTTCTTACAATATGATTGTCAGTATGTTTTCATCTAATCAAACAAGCAACGTTCAGGCTCACATTGCAACACTTCTAACGTGAGATACAGGATCCTTTTTAAGACATTTATTACTCAAACATAAAGTTGTTATCTACAAACCTCAACCACCCACCACATGTTGAGACTCAGAGTGATGCGTATATCCTACGAGAATGACTCTTCAAGCAAGCAACCTTCACAAGTTTAACAATCTCACGAAGATAACCAGATTAACCACAACCATACATAAAACCTTTTTGCTTTGAGTCACTGCTCAAAAGTTAGATATCTTCCTCAATTATATGATTTGATCTGTTAATCATCATTAGTTAAAGATCCAACCTCTGATAATAGATGTGATTCACATGTACAATGAAATTTTCAGAGGAACCCGACTTACTTAGAATCAAAGGAGAAAGCAATTGAACTACCATTTACACATCAACTGATGAAATCTAAACCGAAACCATACTAAACCATCCATCACTAGGACTATCATTCTTGATTATTAAAAAGAAAGCATCGAGAACGAAACGAAACTTGGAATCCACCAACACGATCAGCACTTGAACTTGAGGCCGAGACCACCATGCTTACCGCGAATCGAACCAGGCTTCAAGTGAGCATAAGGAGACGTCTTCGACGTCAAAACCTTCGCGATCGCTCTTTTCCCAAGCTTCCTCATCCTCTGCCTCCCAAGCTTCTTACACACGCTACGCGGCACAAGCTCATCGTCCAGATCATACGAATCGTCGTATTCTTCGTCATCAACACCACGATCGTCGTCTCCGTCGTCACAACAACCGCCGCGATTAGCGTAATCTCCGAGCGTGATACCAAACGAATACGTCGAAGAACCGCCGCGGAGAAGCACCATCCGCCGCTGCGCCCACCGTAGGTGCTTATCATCAACTTGCTCGCGAGCGACATCGTCATCGCCGGCGAGATCAAGATTCGCGGGGAGTTCAGCGTCGTCAGTGACGGGGAGAGTCTGAGGCGGTGGAGAGATGAGGAAGGAAGCGTCGTCGAGGGAAATGACGTCATCGTCGGAGAGACTATCGATGGAGAAGGAATCGTCGGAGAATTCGCCGTCGGAGAGGTTAACAACTTCCCAGAGATCGAGATCGTCTTCGTGGTTGTTGAGGACGAGAGGAGACATGGTGATAACCCTAGATCGATTCGCCATTTTCAGAGATTGTTTTTTCTTTTCTTTTTGAATTTAATTTTTGTAAACTGTTTGATTGATTTTTTTCTGATGAGGAAGTTACCTCCTTTAATAGAAGCAAAAGCGGAGAGAACCACCGTGTGTTAACGTGTGTCGATTGGTAGTTTCAACTGTGGAGGATACGTAATTCAAGCCAATAAGATTTGGCCACGTAATCTTTATTGTGCCATGTCAGCGTTTTATCAGAGTCGGCGATGTTAAAAAATAAGTTACAGGAACTGTAACTCGATCTCATCCACTAATGGTATGGATTAGGAATATACCATTTCTGATTCAACAGAAAATATACTATTTAATATCTTATTCCTTTGTAATTTTTTATACAGTGAAACTCAAAAGTTTCTAATTCTATTTAATTAAGATGTTTCTTAAATTTAAAACCAGTAAATAGTTAACAAAAACATTTTTCTTTCTCTGATGAAATTTTATATTGCTGATGAAAAGTAATCCACGAGGTACACATATAAATAAAAGAAAACCATTTTTTAATATCAGAAAATAACCTCGTTTATATTAAAAATGTTGTTCTTTTGTTAGGGAAAATGGGCTTTTAATTCCTCAAGTGCTTGTAATAGGCACTTTTAATACTCAACTTCTACTTATGCAATTATAATCCTCAAATGAATGTTGACTGAGCAAAATTGAACTTTAAAAAGTCAACTATTATGTTTTTGACGGAGACGTTAATTATGAGAAAAGAGATTTCATTCTATCTTTTGAAACCTAGAAACCTCTCCCTTTGATTATTCAGGCAATTTTGGCGGAGAGGAGGTGGGTTCCAATGAGAATTATGATCTATTTCAATTATTTCAAGTTTACTCATTTGGCTCTGAGTTTGCAGCTGTAATAAGATCCCGAACCATTCACGTTAAAATCTTTCCGACTGGAGCGGCATATGGAATATAGTTCAAAGCTTTAAAAGTGGAGGTTTTGGATGGTCTGTGGAAAGGTGAAACCCGTTCACGTTAAAATCGCTACGTATCTAACAACGCTTGAAGCTATTCAATCAACAAAGACTCATAAAATCTCAAGTTTTCAGTTAATTTTGGACTCTATTGTCCTCTTCTCCGCCAAGCGTTCATGGCTGGACATGATTAAGATCACAAGTTTTCTTTTCAGAAACCTTGTCACTCTTTTCACTCCACTATCTTGTAGTTTTTTAATAAATGCACAACCACTTTTTAGCTGTTGCTTTCACAATGAGTGTTGTATTCAAACTATGTTCTTTGATTACTCTGTTTTGAATGTTATGAAATGAAATCCTGGACAAAAAAAAACTATCTACCCATGAGAAAGAACTACTAATGAACACTGTGTCTTGTCCTTTTAAATTTGGCCATAATCTTAAAATCATACATGCATGTACAAGTACTCATACGATTAGCAAAAATAAAGTTTGTAACAAGATAACTAGATTTCTCTTCCTAAAAATGCATATATTTTCTAGTACACCATTTGAGTCCTGCAACAATTACGGTATCACACTTTTTTTTTTAATATGTCATAATGATAGTTCTCAGATTTACATATGCATCTCTATAACAGATAATTCACAACCTTTCCCCACTAGCAAATAAAACCAAAACTTTAACATAATTTCAAAGCGAAAAGAATAGGCAATGTTAACAGTATCAATATCTTCTCATCTCAGACAAACGCTTAAAAAAGAGAACAATGAAGAATTAATAATTAAAATGATAAAAGTAATCTCTACGGTTTTAATAAGCGCTAATGATTGATCCCCACATTGACTGACTTGGCCTCACTGGCATCTTGTTTTAATGTTTTGCATTGTTTTATGATTCTTCTACTCTCCCGCCAGGCACAAAAACACGATAAAGCTTACGTTCCTCACCAGAATTGTTCAATTCTCGTCGGGATCGTCTTCTTCTCACTGGAACTCACCTTTTCTCCATCAAAAATCGTCTGAATAACCGAAGTGAGAGGTTTCTGAGTTTCAAAAGACAAATCAAATCTCTTTTCTGTCATAACTAACGTGTCTCCGTCAAAAACATAAGAGTTGACTTTTAAAAGTTTAATTTTGCTCAGTCAACTTTCACTTGAGGATTAAAACTGCACAAGTAGAAGTTGAGTATTAATAATGCTGATTACAAATACTTGGGGAATTAAAAACTCATTTTCCCTCTTTTGTTAAATTATTTAGTGGGCTTCTTTTTTTTTCCTCAAGTTACCATTCCTAATAAGAAGCCTAATATGTATGTTTTCTTAAGGGCCCAATAACGAGAATAAAAGCTAAGAATAAAATAGGTCAAACATCTCATGGCATACAATTCACAAGCAAAAGATAGCAGTCTTAACAGCAACAGAATAACTCGAAGTCACATAATTGCTAAGCAGTCTCATCTTCACTCTCACTCTCACTGTCAGCATAATCGACCAAGACTCCTCCTGCTCCAACCTGAACAGTATCTGCGACCTTAACTTCATCTTTCTTTTCCGGTGTTGGTTTTGTTCCCTCATCTTCACGGATACTGTTCAGTCTCTTCGGGTTGGAGGAGGAGCCTTGGTCGATTATGCTGACAGTGAGAGTGAATTGGTCGACTATGCTGACAGTGAGAGTGAAGATAAGGGAACAAAGCCAGCACCGGAAAAGAAAGATGATAGCAGGCTGTTAGTGAGCTTCTTTGTTTGGAACCTCGTTAACATTTTTCTAATATTGAAAATGTTTTTCTTTTGTTAAAATATTTAGTGGGCTTCTTTTTTGGGCTTTGGGTCTATAAATTAAGCTGAAATCCATCACAAATTAAAATCCATATCACTGACTCCTCTACATTTCTAGTTTGATGTTTCTTGTCCTCTAGTTTAAATGACACCGTAAGCAAGAAGGCCCGTTTCTTCCTCCACTCATTATTTTCATGCCAACAAGTATTTTTTTTTGGTGTGGCTCTATTTTCATTAGCTCATTTTTTTTTAAAAAAGGAATAAACATAAAAAATGTGAACCCCTAGTGGCTTTGGGAAAAAGCCTGCACCAGGACCATTGTTTTCATCGATGAATGAATAAACTAACCATTTAAAAAATCCTAAAATCAGAATATTCGCTGGACGAACCAAATCGATCCACATCGCAGGTGAGAAGGCCTCCTGCATTTTCTCCTATTTCTTAAACTGTCTCTGACTCTCTCAGATCTTTGCAGGAAAATAAAGTTTTCGCCATCGAATCAGACGTCAAAACGAGATTGATCGGCTCTCGATTTCTGATTTCAAATTCAGGAAACAATGGGGAGCTTGAGGACGTTACTGAGATATCCGGATGATATATATCCTCTCTTGAAGATGAAACGTGCGATCGAGAAAGCGGAGAAGCAGATCCCGCCTGAGCCGCACTGGGGATTCTGCTACTCTATGCTCCACAAGGTTTCTCGTAGCTTCTCCCTCGTTATCCAGCAGCTACGTCCCGAGCTTCGTAACGCTGTACGTTTTCTTATCTCTCTCTCGATCGATACGTGTGTCTGTGTAAATGTATGCGTTGTGTGGTCAACGCATTTATTGTGTATAATCGATGATATTGAATGTATCCATGTGGGGATTATATGTTAGACATCTTTAGACTTAGTTCTGCAGATTAGTTTAAATTGCTTTTTAGAATACAACTTAAACTGCAGTAAATGGAGATTGTTTTTCTTGAACTGGGAATATTTTTTATTTATTTTACGTTCTTGTGCTATATCATATGAGGCTTTAAAGGGACGTGTGACGCATAGAAGAATGTTTAAATTGTTTATAACGTTTCCACGTATCTTTGATTCCTTCATAAGCCTATCCATATATAGCTGCGTCCAATTTTTCAGTATCTCATATTCAGCTGCCGTTTTTTTTTTTGGGTATAGGTGTGTGTGTTCTACTTGGTTCTTCGAGCTCTTGATACTGTCGGTTAGTGTTTCTTTATACATGACCTTGTGTATTCATATTTAGATCCATCTTCATTAGTCATGCTGCTGCGGCTAATAATATATATATATTATTTTTTTGGTACTACAGAGGATGACACAAGTATACCAACTGATGAAAAGCTGCCCATCCTCATAGCTTTCCACCGTCACATTTACGATACTGACTGGCACTATTCATGCAAGTCAAACGATTCTTTTAATGTTTATCTTTCACATGCTATTTATATATTTTCTGTTTAACTTACATCAAGATATTTTAATTTATTTTAAATTTAGGTGGTACGAAGGAGTACAAGGTTTTGATGGACCAATTTCACCATGTTTCTGCAGCATTTTTGGAACTTGATAAAGGGTTAGTTCTGATGTTTTCCCTATACACTTCTGTTCTGGCTTATAGTTTTTTTATGTTGTTTCACTTGTGTTGATTGAGTTACTGAATTTGTTCAAAAGGGGTTAGTTCTGATGTTTCCTTGGTATATGAAGGTATCAAGAGGCTATCGAGGAAATTACTAAAAGAATGGGTGCAGGAATGGCGAAGTTTATCTGCCAGGAGGTTTGTGATACTGAGCGTTTTTTTATTATGGGATTTTTTTTTAAGTTATGGTGACAAACAGACTTGAGCTAGACTGGGGTTTCTGAAATGATTTGTGTAGTAATCCAGGTTTCCCTGTTATACGCAGGTAGAGACTGTTGATGACTACGATGAGTACTGCCACTATGTTGCTGGACTTGTGGGTTTAGGTCTTTCTAAACTCTTCCTCGCTTCGGGATCAGAAGTTTTGTTGCCAGATTGGGAGCAGATTTCCAATTCAATGGGTTTATTTCTTCAGGTACAATAGTCTATTGTGACATGTAGAATGTTTATTCTCAAATCTTTAGAACCTTTGACAATTTACATGTATATCTTTGATTAATGTAACATTGGTATTATTTGCAGAAAACAAACATTATCAGAGATTATCTTGAGGACATTAATGAGATACCAAAGTCCCGCATGTTTTGGCCTCGTAAGATTTGGGGAAAATATGCTGACAAGCTAGAGGTGCATATATACCATTCTCAACCTCTCGTCTGAGTCGCATGTTACGAGTATTGAGCATTTTCTAACAATGCTCTTCCTTTTCTGGTGAACTATAAATCCTAATGTAGGACTTAAAATACGAGGAGAATTCAACAAAAGCAGTGAGCTGCTTGAATGAAATGGTCACCAATGCGTTGACACATATTGAAGATTGCCTAAAGTACATGTCTGCGTTGCGTGATCCTTCTATATTTCGGTTTTGTGCTATTCCTCAGGTCAGATAATAAAATATCTCATATTTCTTGGTTTTCGCCATCTAAAACTTCACTTTGCTTTATAATTTTCGTCTGAAAAATAGCTTATATATTGTTTTCCTTGTAATACAAAACCAGTTTCAGAAATTTCTGTCCACGTGATTACATATTCTCCTCTTTAACTGCGCCTGCATAGACATAGAATGTCTTGGAAGTTAATATCTATTTTCTTTGATGTGTTTCTTTGATCAGATCATGGCGATTGGAACACTTGCATTATGCTATAACAATGTACAATTATTTAGAGGAGTCGTGAAGCTGAGGCGAGGTAAGATGTTCTGTCTTGAATGTGGTTTGCACTCCTTTTCACATCATCATATCATTTAGATCCCAAGCCTTACGTTTTTATCATCAACAAACTTGATCATAGTTGAACAACTTTCAATTGTTTAGGTCTAACTGCCAAAGTCATTGATCGCACAAAGACAATTGCTGATGTCTATGGTGCTTTTTATGATTTTTCTTGCATGCTGAAAACAAAGGTATGTCATTTGCTCCTCTTTTGTTATTTGAATTTTTACTCTGCTTTGTTCCTAAGAAGAGGATAATAGAATTTGTATTTTATTTTTGATGTACATAGGTTGACAAGAACGATCCAAATGCCAGTAACACGCTAAACCGACTTGAAGCCGTGCAGAAACTTTGTAAAGACACTGGAGTCCTTCATAAGAGGTGCATAATTTTCTTCTCTCGTCTTCTTTTCCTATTAGATAATCTAAGATTAAAAGAATATGCTCATTTTCTTTTATCCCAGAAGCTGCATTAGATTAATCTCAATGAAAATAATCTTTATATTTTGGCTGGGTTTCTGATGAATCCTTTACGCTTGCTCAGAAAATCTTTTGTTAATGACGAAGGACAATCATACAATGTCTATGTAAGTTACATATTCTCTCTTCTTTTCAATAGAAGTATATCTCTCTCACTCTCTTGTTTTAATAGATACATTACTAATCATCATCCCTTTTTTCTCTACCCGTAAATGCAGATTGTAATGCTTGTGATTCTACTGGCCATAGTCTTTGCATATCTCAGAGCAAACTGAGTGGTCTGTGATATGGACAGTGTGATTCATAGGTTCCATTTTTATTCACGCCACTCGCTTTCCTTACGAACTGAATCCTATTCAAGATTGTTTTCCAGAACAAGATAGTTTAAACTTGGTCGTTCTCTAAACCCCATGGATTCTAAATTTAGTTATCTTATCTTATATGTAGGTGTAATAAATGTGCGCATTTGTTCATCTATTTTTCTCCTTTGTGCTTGCTTTTTGGGACCAAACAGTTTGTTTCTTTCTCAGTTATTTTGTGGGTTCTTTCTTTTATCATGTTTAATACATCTCGAATCATTTTCTTCCAAATGGATCCAAAATTGATTACTAGCAACCAAAGAACTCCAAATGCAAAAACAAACAGTAGAAAAAAAACAGATGTTATATTTTTATGAATTAATTGAGAAATAATTGGGTTCTCAACTATGAATTAAGTATATTAGGTAGAAAAACCTATTGATTCACTCAAATCAAACACGGGGTTTTATATATCATATTAAGAGAAACTTACAATAAGAGCACATTTATCTCTGATGTTAAAGGTGTGTTTAGGGGAGGGAACCACAAAACATCACAAAAATCGACGCCTCAAACTCTAGAATAAACGTCTTTTTAGATTATTGCTTGGGGACCTCATGATATATGGCAATCCACGATTAGTTTTTTTTTCTAAATTCGAAAAAAACAAAAAAAAATAAAAATTTAAGCACTCCCTGGGATAGTCCTGTTCTAAAGTTTACTGGTCCATTTCCCTTACTATCGCACTAAAATTTGCGCAATACTATGTCGGCAAGTAATGATAAATCTCTATAAGAAAATATATAAAAGAAATGAAAAATATCAAGCTTACATATTTTATTTTCAACGTTTCGCGAAGCACGCGGCAAGCAAAGGCTTTTTAAACGCCAAAACAAAACATAGTTGACCCCAATATAGCACCTGCATCACCGTGGCACGTTAAGAGTCTTACATTTTTCATGACATTAACTTCACTGTTTTTGTTCCCCCTAACGAATCCGCCATTCTTCTTCCCCAGTTTCTGAGTAGAGTTTGTTAAAGATGGGAAGCTTGAGTACGCTTTTAAGACACCCAGATGAGATATATCCACTGTTAAAGTTAAAACTTGCGATTATGAAAGCTCAGAATCAGATCCCTCTTGATCCACACTTAGCTATCTGCTACTCATTGCTCCAAAATGTTTCCAAAAGCTTCTCTCTTGTTATTCAACAACTACGCCCCGAGCTTCGTAACGCCGTACGTATATTTGATTATAGATTCTTTTAACTTTATTTGCCAACTAACTTTTGTGTAGAAATATTTCTTTCTATTTACAGCTATGCTTATATTTTTAGGTACATCAACATTTTCACCATTTTACCATTCATTTTTTTGTTACTAGGTGTGCGTGTTCTACTTGATTCTCCGTGCTCTTGATACTGTTGGTTAGTGCTTCATGTTTGATTAATACTGTTCTTTCTTTCTTCAATGGCAAAAGATTACCAATCATCTACCCTTTTGTTGTTATTACTACAGAGGATGACACAAGCATACCAATGGAGATCAAGGTTCCAATTTTGTTAGATTTCCACCGTCATATATACGATCGTGACTGGCATTTTACATGTAAGTAAGAAGAGTCTCTTACACATATTGATATTTTCAGATGCAAGTGCTTATTTTTTTCTTTTCTTAATCTACTGTTAAATCGATTTTAGGTGGTACAAAGGAGTACAAGGTTCTAATGGACCAGTTTCACCATGTTTCTGCTGCTTTTCTGCAGCTTGAAAAAGGGTTAGTTAGTTCTTGAAATCTATTTACGGCAATATAAACAAAATTTATCTTGTTTTCCTAACTTAAATAAAAGGTATCAAGAGGCTATTGAAGATATAACGAAAAGAATGGGTGCAGGAATGGCCAAATTTATTTCCAAGGAGGTCTGTGATACAAATGAATCTTTGTTACTTGTAATATTGTTCGTTTCAGTTACAAGTATTTTAAACGCTTAAGTTTGTTACAAAAAAAAAAAAGCTTGTTCAAACATCTGGATATATAAATTAAGCTGCATTAAAATTTAGTAATTAACTTGCTTTGTTAAGAGCTACAAGTGATTTTTGTATGGACAGGTAGAAACGGTTGATGATTATGATGAATACTGCCATTATGCTGCTGGACTTGTGGGTTTAGGTTTGTCAAAACTCTTGCTTGCTTCAGGATTAGAAATACTGACTCCAGACTGGAAGCAGATTTCAAATTCTACAGGTTTATTTCTCCAAGTATGTATCTTCATCAGCAATATGACATTTTTTTTAACTTCCTTTCTTTTTGCAAGATTCTGGCTAAAATAAACTGTCTGTCTAATTTACTAGAAAACGAACATCATCAAAGATTACCTTGAGGACGTTAATGAGATACCTAAACCACGCATGTTTTGGCCTCGTGAGATTTGGGGAAAATATGTTGACAAACTCGAGGTGCATACACCAAGCTCTCATCTAGAGATCTCATATTAAATCTTATAAAAACACAATAATGTGACGTTTTTCGTTTATAATGCAGGAGTTCAAAAATGAGGAGAACTCAACAAAAGCAGTGCAGTGCTTGAATGAAATGGTCACTAATGCATTGATTCATGTTGAAGATTGCTTGAAATCCATGGCTGGATTGCGTGATCCTGCAATATTTAAGTCTTGTGCCATCCCTCAGGTTAGATAATAATGTTACCTTATGCTTAATAGATATAAGTTGAGATGTTTGTATAATATTTCTCCTTTGCATTGATATGGACTATATTTTCTTTTATAGATTGTGGCGATGGGAACACTTGCATTATGCTATAACAATGTACATGTATTTAGAGGCGTCGTGAAACTCAGGCGAGGTACGATGTTTTTTTCTGTAATCTTTAAAATGACATTTTCATCATATAAGTCGTAAGGCTTAATCAGAATCAAAGACTTGATCATTAGTTTGTGAGTGAACCAATAGCTGGGTTACGTTACAAACATTGCTACTTACAAAAGATTTGTTTCGGTTGTTTAGGTCTAATTGCCAAAGTGATTGATCGCACACAGTCAATGGATGATGTCTATGTTGCATTCTATGATTTTTCTTGCATGCTAAAAACAAAGGTATATATCATATGTGATCTTGATGCTCAGTCTTTACAATGGCTCACAGTTTTGATTTTTGGAAGAAATTTCTAGAATATATTAGTAGTATATTTCATGTTTATATTGGTATTTAAAAGCTAAAGTAAGTGATATTTTTGTATATTGACATATGTTAAATAGGTGGACAAGAACGATCCAAATGCCATGAAAACACTTAAAAGACTGGAAACCATCGAGAAAGTCTGCAGAGAAAATGGAGACCTTCACAAGAGGTGAGCACTTTTCTTCTTACTCTCTTCTTTGTTTGAGTCTATTGAATCTTATCTCTTTTTTCTTCCCCGGTCAGAAAATCTTATGTTAACGACGAAACACAATCAAAGGCTATCTTGGTAAGATAATATTTATCATGTTTTCATCAAAATATATAACCTTCTATAGCATATAGTTTACTGATCATCCTTCTCTCTATACTGAACTTGCAGTTTTTAATGTTGATTCCTCTACTGGCCATTCTAGTCTTTGCGTATCTAAAACACACACAGAAGAACGCAAGTGAGTGACTCTTCACTGAGACAATTCAAGATCTTGAAAGCATGATGGAACATAATTTCATGGTTCCTCAAAGATTTTTATCGAACTTCATCCACGTTAACTCTCTTCTCGCCAGCCCTCTTACAGAACTTGGTTTGCTCTGAATCCATGAGACTGTATTTACTTACTGCCTTCATGTTAATGTTAATGTTAATGTTAAGTATGATATTCATTCAAAAAAAAAAAATGTTAAGTATGATACTGAATTGCAAGTAAATAATGTACAAACACCAGATTCCAACGTTGAGCGTATGATCCCTTTGCGTAAACTGAACAAACACTGACATGGACTTAGAGAACCTAATGTATTGACTCAAATCAACTTTTTTTTGTCAACCTAGAGACTCAAATCAAACATTGGGTTTATAAATCAGAGTAAGAAAGAGTTACAATAAGGATTACTGGTCCATCTCCCTTGCTATCATCCCTCTACAGTTTGCGCCATACTATGTCGGCATATAATGTTAAATCTCTACAAAAAAAAAAATATATAAAAGAAAAGAAAATATCAAGCTTACATATTTTGTTTTCAACGTTTCAGCGTGTAACACGCGGTAAGCTAAGCTTTTTCAAATGCCTGAAACAGAACATAGTCGACCCCAGTAACACATGTATCATATCATTACCGTGACACGTTAAGCGTCTTACATTTTCTTCATTACATTAAGTTTGTTGTTTCAGTCCCCAACGAATCCGCCATTCTTCTTCCCCTGTTTCTGAGTAGAGTTTGTTAAAGATGGGAAGCTTGAGTACACTTCTGAGACACCCAGATGAGATATATCCACTCTTAAAGTTGAAACTCGCGGTTATGAAAGCTCAGAATCAGATCCCTCTTGATCCACACTTAGCTCTCTGCTACTCGTTGCTCCAAAAAGTTTCTACAAGCTTCTATATTGTTATTCAAAAACTAGGCACCGAGCTTCGTGGCCCCGTACGTATATTTTAAAATTTGTTTGCTAACTAACTTCTTATGAAAAGATTTATTCTGCATATGCTACATTTAATCATTTTCTTGTTTTTTTTTCTTATATATTAGGTGACTTTATTTTACTTGATTCTCCGTGCTCTTGATACTGTTGGTTAGTGCTTAATAACTATGGCAGAAAATTCTTGATGACTAAAGATTACTATCATCTACTCTCTTTTTGTTTTGTTGTTGTTGTTGTTGTTTTACTACAGAGGATGATACAAGCATACCAATGGAGATCAAGGTTCCAATTTTGACATCTTTCCACCGTCATATATACGATCCTGACTGGCATTTTTCATGTAAGTAAGAAGAGTCTCTTACACATTCTTTATATTTTTAGATGCATGTGTGTATTCTTACTTACTTTACTCTTTCATTCGGTTTTAGGTGGTACGAAGGAGTATAAGGTTCTCATGGACCAGTTTCACCATGTTTCTTCTGCTTTTCTCCAACTTAAAAAAGGGTTTGCTATTCAATGATTTTTACTATTTTGGATAAATGCAATTCTGTTCTGTTCTGTTGTTGCTCATTTTATTGATGTCGAGTCTCTTTCTAGCAAAACGAATTAACTTATGCATGTTTTCCTGACTTACACAAAAGGTATCAAGAAGTTATTGAAGATATAACTAAAAGAGCGGGTGCAGGAATGGTCAAATTTTTATCCAAGGAGGTTTGTGATACAAAAAAAAATCTTTGTAATTTGGAATGCTGTTTGTTTCAGTTACAAGTCTTGCATGCTTAGTTTCTGTCATTAACCGTCCAAATATCAATGCTTTGAAATCTGGATACATGTATATATAGAAATTTAAGCTATTATCAAAACTTAGTAATTAACTTGGTTTATTAAAGAGCTACAAGTGATTGTTGTATGGACAGGTAGAAACGGTTGATGAGTATGATGAATACTGCCACTATGCTGCTGGACTTGTTGGTTTAGGTTTATCAAAACTCTTCCTCGCTTCAGGATTAGAAATACTGACACCAGATTGGAAGCAGATTTCCAACTCCACAGGTTTATTTCTGCAAGTATGTATCCTCATCATCATCAACATATGAAAATTGGTTCTTGCAATATTTTGGTTATAAGAAATTTCTTGTCTTATTTGCTAGAAAACTGACATTATCAAAGATTACCTTGAGGACGTTAATGAGATACCAAAACCGCGCATGAATTGGCCTCGTGAGATTTGGGGAAAATATGTTGACAAGCTCGAGGTGCATACACCAAAGCTCTCAAGCTCTTAGAGATCTCATGTTTATTAAATCATATTAAAAAACAAAACAGTGTGACTCTCAGGTCGGATGTTATCCGTATCGAGCTTTTTCTAACAATGCTCTTCCTTTTATTTTGTGAACTATAAATCCTAATGCAGGACTTAAAATACGAGGAGAATTCAACGAAAGCAGTGAGCTGCTTGAATGAAATGGTAACCAATGCGTTGACGCATATTGAAGATTGTCTGAAGTACATGGCTGCGTTGCGTGATCCTTCTATATTTCGGTTCTGTGCTATTCCTCAGGTCAGAGAAAATAAATATTTCTTGGTTTGCATATCTAAGTATTTTTACTTTGCTTTATAATTTTCATCTGAAAATAGCTTATATATTGTTTTCCTCGTAAATACAAAACCAGTTTCAGAAATTCCTGTCCACATGATTTACATATTCTCTTCTTTAGCTGCGCCTGCATAGATATATAATGTTTTGGAAGTTAATATCGATTTGCTTGGATGTGTTTCTTTGATCAGATCATGGCGATTGGAACACTTGCATTATGCTATAACAATGTACAATTATTTAGAGGAGTCGTGAAGCTGAGGCGAGGTAAGAAGCTTTATCTTTACACACCTTTTCACATCATCATATAATTTTGATCCCAAGCCTTATATTTTTATCATCAACAAACTTGAGAACGTGTTGTGAGCAACCTCATCTGAAACATTGTTGAACAACTTCAATTGTTTAGGTCTAACTGCTAAAGTCATTGATCGCACAAAGACAATAGCTGATGTCTATGGTGCTTTTTATGATTTCTCTTGCATGCTGAAAACAAAGGTATGTCATTTGCTCCTCTTTTTTTATTTGAATTTTCACTTTGTTCTGCTCTTCAGGAGAGGATAATAGAATTTGTATATTATATTTATTTACATAGGTTGACAAGAACGATCCAAATGCCAGTAACACGCTAAACCGACTTGAAGCCGTGCAGAAACTTTGTAAAGACACTGGAGTCCTTCATAAAAGGTGCATAATTTTCTTCTTTTGTCTTCTTTTCCTATTAGATAATCTAAAATTAAAAGAGTATGCTCATTTTATTTTATCCCAGAAGCTGCATTAGATTAATCTCAATGAACATAATCTTTATATTTTGGCTGGGTTTCTGATGAATCCTTTACTCTCTTGCTCAGAAAATCTTTTGTTAATGACGAAGGACAATCATACAATGTTTATGTAAGTTACATATTCCCTCTCCTTTACAATAGAAGTAACTCTCACTCTTGTTTTAATAAATACATTATTAATGGGCATCATCATCCCTTTTTTCTCTACCCGTAAATGCAGATTGTAATGCTTGTGATTCTACTGGCCATAGTCTTTGCATATCTCAGAGCAAACTGAGTGGTCTGTGATGGACAGTGTGATTCATAGGTTCCATTTTTATTCACGCCACTCGCTTTCCTTACGAACTGAATCCTATTCAAGATTGTTTTCCAGAACAAGATAGTTTAAACTTGGTCGTTCTCTAAACCCCATGGATTCTAAATTTAGTTATCTTATCTTATATGTAGGTGTAATAAATGTGCGCATTTGTTCATCTATTTTTCTCCTTTGTGCTTGCTTTTTGGGACCAAACAGTTTGTTTCTTTCTCAGTTATTTCTTTTATCATGTTTAATACATCTCTAATCATTTTCTTCCAAATGGATCCAAGATTGATTACTAGCAACCAAAGAACTCCAAATGCAACAACAAACAGTAGAAAAAACAATCAAGAAAACAGATGTTATATTTTTATGAATTAATATGAATTATCTGAGAAATAATTGGGTTCTCAACTATGAATAAGTATTATTAGGTAAAAAAATGGGTATTATTAGGAAGAAAAACTTATTGATCGACTCAAATCAAACATTGGGTTTTATCTACTAATAATAGGAATCCTAATTAATTCCAAAGGTTGTGAATTCATATTAAGTTGAAAGGTTGTGTTTTTATTTCTACTATATTAAATTATTTTTGAAACATTGTGTCTGTTCAAAATTAATTAATTTAAAAATGTGTCTTTTCAAAAATATAATATTTCAATTTTAAAGAAATGTGTCCGTTCAAAAGTTAGTTAATTTGAAATAAGGTGTTTATTCAAAAAATTTAATATTTTAATTGTTTTGAAACAATGTATCTTTTCAAAAGTTAGTTAATTTGAAATAAGGTGTCTATTCACAATATATATATATTTTTCTGAAAAGATGTATTCAAATAGAAAGTTGCGACTATTCAATTAAGATTTGAAAAGTTGATAATAACAATCCTAATTAATTCCAAAGGTTGTGAATTCATACTAAGTTGAAAGATTGTGTTTTTATTTCTACTATATTAAATTATTTTTGAAACATTGAGTCTGTTTAAAAATTAATTAATTTAAAAATGTGTTTTTTCAAAAATATAATATTTCAATTTTAAAGAAATGTGTCCGTTCAAAAGTTAGTTAATTTGAAATAAGGTGTTTATTCAAAAAAAAAAATATTTTAATTGTTTTGAAACAATGTATCTTTTCAAAAGTTAGTTAATTTGAAATAAGGTGCCTATTCACAATATATATATTTTTCAATTAGAAAGTTGCGACTATTCAATTAAAATTTGAAAAGTTGTAATTTTTCAACAAGTTCTTTGAACATCTATATATATACTCTGTTTTCAATTTTCAGAAACTAAAATGTTCACTAATATAAAAAAAATGGTGGAGGATTCTATATAATAACAAGCCGACTTTTTGTCTCCATTGATCTCAGTTTTTGTTTATAGAAAAATAAAAGTTAAATCGCATGGTTGAAATTGCTTCATTATACAATCTATGACTTCATCAGTTATTAATCCAAACGGTATGTCTTTACGTTACATTTTTGAACCATTGCTTTTCAAAAAGACACAACACTTACAAAATAAATTTGATTTTAAATGTGTATATATTGTCTCTTTATCATTTTCCTTCATCATCGTTTTTACCTCCATTTAATTTTATTGCCTACAGTTTTTGAAATGAAAAGACAATTTTTGGCTTCTTTTAAAAAAAAAAAATATTAGACTGGTTATTTGTACCACAAGAAAAAGAGGAATAAGGCCCTAAACCTTATCATAACTGATCACGTAAAATAAAAACATGTTAATTGAAAGATTGTATTATCATTTTCAGTATTCTAAAAGATGTCTTTATGAATGTCATGTATTTTCATTATTAAATACAAACAATATTATTTTAGACAAAAAACTGTGACTATTCATTAAAATAACTGATTATTATTTGAAAAGTTGTAATTTTCAACAATTTCTTTGAAAATATATAGTTTGAAACAATCTATCCATTAAAAAATAGTTAATTTGAAGGAATGTGTCTATTTTTTTTTTTCTGAGAAGATGCAACTTTCCATGTAAAACTTAAGAGATATAACTTTTCATATTATACACTAAATTAAAAAAAAATGATTGCAAATATATAGGTGAACTATTAATAAATGGATATAAACAAACTAAAAAATAAAAGATACAAATTTCATCTTAAAATTAATCTTTGCAGTTTTTATGTAAAAATTAAACTAATATAGAAAGATACATCTTTTGAGATTTCAACTTTTTCAACAGTGCAATTTTAGAATAACGTGATACAATGCCGACGTTCACCACCGCCATCGAAAAGAAACCGGTGATACTTATGACCAGAATAACACTCTCCAATCGAGAGACACAACGTTTGATCAACCCATAATTAACTGTCACCAGACTAACTTAGATAATATCATCACTGACTCATGTCCTCTAATAAATTAACTGAACGACAGACAAACCCCTTTTCTCTACAGGAGCAAAGGAAATAACATCAACACATAAAAGAATATGTTGTCAATATTAGAAAATTAAATGGTGAAAACTCCAAATTTGCCCAAAGGAAAAGACGTTGATAGTGGTTTTGAAAGAAATATGGGGTTATGATGAACAATAACAGTGGAAAATCATTATGAACACATTTCAAATCCAACACTAAAACTACCCACTGAAATTAGGGAAAGAGAGCCGAACAAATAAAAAAAATTGGAGGGGGGTATTTAAGAGGTTGATCTAAAGGTTGTGTTGTTTGACAATGAGACTATTCGGGAAAAGATGCACTACTTACAGTAAATATTTATAAACGAGAAAATGCAATAAATAAATATGAGTAAAGTTACAATGAAACGACGCAACATTGTTATTACTAATACTGTTTGTAACTACCTGCTTAATTTTTAAAAAGTTGCATATTTTACTATTTGTACATTTTCAATTCGAACCTTATTCACTTCTAACCTTTTAAATTCTTAAACGTTGCATACGTTACTACTCGTACACTTTCAATTCTATTTAAAATAATATGTCCGTTTAAAAGTAAATTAATTTGAAATAAGATATCTATTCATATTTTTAATATTTTAATTGTTTTGAAACAATGTATTTGTTCAAAAATTAGTTAATTAGAAATAAAGTGTCTATTTACAATATATATATATATATATTTATGAAAAGATGTATCTAAATAAAAAGTTGTGACTATTCAATAAAAAGTTGTATCTAAAAATATAAATTTTAAACTAATATATTCCTGTTTTTCTTTAAAGAAAAAACATAATTTTTTTATTTCGATTGTGAATCATAAGCTTTCACATTAACTGGATTCTTATTTGAAAAGATACAACTCTTCAATTAATACATTTCAGTTTTTTTTGAAACACACAACTTTTCATTTTAATAGAGATTCACAACCTTTATAACTTTATTTATAATTTTACTTTGAACAATGTGTCCATTCAAAAATTAGTTTATCTGAAAAAAAATGTTTATTTAAAAAAAAAAAATTTAATTTTTTTTAAATAATGTGTCTGTTGAAAAGTTAGTTAATTTGAAAAAGGTGTCTATTCAAAATATATATTTATATTTTGAAAAGATGTATTGGTAAAAAGTTGTGACTATTCATTTAAAACCGACTATAATTTGAAAAGTTGTAACTTTTGAAAGAATTTTTTGAATCCTGATTAATGTTGAAACGTTGTCTTTGTTCATAAAAAAATGAATTTTCATTATCATTTCAAATGTTGTATGTTTTCATATTTTTAGTTATTAAAATATATAAATTTTTAGTGTTGTATCTTTTCACAAGCAATATAAGCAATTTTTCATCTTTTTTTTTTGACAAAAACTAATAAATGCAACTTTTCATATAAAAAGCTAAAAATATTTATTTTTTCTTTAGACGAAGATACATGACTCTTCACTTAAAAGATGTATCTCTTTGTTGAATATATATGTATCTTTTTCTTTAGTGAATATATGTACTTTTTCTTTGAACATATTTGACTCTACACATAGTGTTTCTTGACTGTCTATATATATTATGAGACATTTCAAAGATAAAGTAATCAGTTAAGTTATAAACTAAAATTAATACATAGATTACGTTATATTATGAAGAGCTAATGCTTGTATTTGTATTCGTAAACCAATTTGTTTCTGGAAAACATAATCAAATTCTTTAGCCAACCATTTTTCACCTTCTCTGTTTTTCAAACGTTTGTCTCCCACATCGTTAAGTGCCTTAAAGAGAGTTATTCTCATAATAAAAGAAAATATTTTTTTATGGTTAAGATATCTTATAAGCGCTTCTCCATAATTATGGATATTTTCTTGATATTATCTGGTTATTTTCTCATTTTACTTACATTATTCATTTTAAAAGTGTATGGAAAATGTTACATTGATTTGATATCAATAAAGTTATGATATTTAAAAAAAAAAGTCTATGGAAAATCAAAGAATGTATCATTTTCTCTTTTGTAACATACAAAATGGCATATATCTTTTAATAAAATGAGTTAATGATATTAATATAAAACATGCACATACACTTCAATGTATGTGTCTTTAAAAACTGGTTATATAACTTTAAAGTTATGCCGTATTTTTTCATGTAACAACTGAATAGTTTATGACTATTTCTTTTTATTATTCTCAATTTTATTTTTATTTAATGTAATTTTATTTTATTTATATGAAAAATCTATTTTTTAATTAATATATGTTTTCGTGTGAAGAGATAGATCATTTAAGAACACTAAAAATGCTGCAAAATTTTATTATTTCAAAAATGTAATTTTGTAAGACATGTATTTTCTCAAAAATAATTATTATTTTTTAAATATTATTTTATAAAATGAGTTTCCGTGCGATATCGCATGGGTTCTTTACCTAGTAAATCATAGTAAGAGAGAGTTACAATAAGGTTTACTGGTCCATTTCCCTTACTATCGCACTACAATTTGTGCAATACTATGTCGGCAAGTAATGATAAATCTCTATAAGAAAATATATAAAAGAAATGAAAAATATCAAGCTTACATATTTTATTTTCAACGTTTCGCGAAGCACGCGGCAAGCAAAGGCTTTTTAAACGCCAAAACAAAACATAGTTGACCCCAATATAGCACCTGCATCACCGTGGCACGTTAAGAGTCTTACATTTTTCATGACATTAACTTCACTGTTTTTGTTCCCCCTAACGAATCCGCCATTCTTCTTTCCCAGTTTCTGAGTAGAGTTTGTTAAAAATGGGAAGCTTGAGTACGCTTTTAAGACACCCAGATGAGATATATCCACTGTTAAAGTTGAAACTTGCGATTATGAAAGCTCAGAATCAGATCCCTCTTGATCCACACTTAGCTATCTGCTACTCATTGCTCCAAAATGTTTCTAAAAGCTTCTCTCTTGTTATACAACAACTATATACAATCAAAGGCTCTCTTGGTATACTTATCATGTTTTCATCAAAATATATAACCTTCTATAGCATATAGTTTACTGATCATCCTTCTCTGTATACGGAACTTGCAGTTTTTGATGTTGGTTCCTCTACTGGTCATTCTAGTCTTTGCGTATCTAAAACACACACAAGAACGCAAGTGAATGACTCTTAACTGAGACAATTCAAGATCTTCAAAGCTTTATGGAACATAATTTCATGGTTCCTCGAAGAGTTTTATCGAACTTCATTCGCGTTAACTCTCTTCTCGCCAGCCAGCTCTGAATCCATGCGACTGTATTTACTTACTGCCTTAATGTTTTTCTCCCTTGTGTATGTTAATGTTAAGTATGATATTCATTCAAAAAAAAAAAAATGTTAAGTATGATACTGAATTGCAAGTAAATAATGTACAAACACCAGATTCCAACGTTGAGCGTATGTCCCTTTGTGTAAACTGAATAAACACTGACATGAATTTAGAAACATCAAAAAATTTGCAACACCAATATTTGAAAAAGAATCACAATGTGAAAGTAATTGGAAAAAAAGTAACAAGACAAAATCCAAAAAAGAAGTGTATTCACATATGAATATAGATAAAGATTAGGGATTAACATCAAATGCCAAAAAGAGGATCCAAATCCAATATTAAGATAATACATAAAAATTGAACTCTTGTTCAAGTGGCATCACTATCAGATTCAGAAATCTGCATCAGCTCTTTATACTCATGAACATGGACTTCTGTATCGCCCGGTGAACCTTATCTCTCTTTCTTTTTCTTTCTACAGAACACACACAACTCTTCTACAATAACAACTCAATTCCCCAGCAAAGCAAACCACAATGTTACCTTCAGTTTTCTCAAAAGACTTCAGAGATTTTGCTAGCAAGAACTCGTTCCCTTTTTTCGATGTACTCATAAGGGAACCAACCGGCTTTGCCTTTGCATTCACCTTCCGCCCATCCGTTGCCAGTAACCTAACAGTGATCAACCAGACAAGTGTGTTATCATCATACAATCACTCTTGAGAAAAATGTTGGGTTTCCCATGTGGGGGTTGGTTTACTATCAAACAAACCTTTCTAACAACAACGTATTCACCAGCTGTTAAGCTCAGCTCGACATCTGTCACACCGTGATACGGGAACAAAACCTGAAAATGTTTTATTAAAGAGGGAACAATATGTTACAACTGAACATCAAATGAGGACCAATAGAAATCTAGATGTAGTCTTTCTTCCGCACAAAAGCACTAGATGACATTAAAGGCTGACCAGCATACCTCTCCCAAGAAGTAACCCATGCTATCTGTTGACGTATCATGCATGTGAGATGCAAACACTCCATTCGCTTCATCATACGATGGAGGTGGTGGCATATTGTCTGCATTTGCGGAGGGAGTAGTGGGGGCTTCAATACGTTGCCTCTCAGATACCATCTGTACGTTCAAAGAATGTTCAATTTTTCCATTTATTAGCTCATATAATAATGAATTGACTGTTCTACTATCATTATAACATGAAGATGAAAGATGTAAAAGTAATCAACACCAACCTCTCCTTCGAGCTGATCAAGTATTTGGAGGACTCTTTGATGGTAGGCACGTTCAGATTCAACCTTGAGATAAGAAGTAGTACGTATAGTTAAAATAATCAAATTTAACCTAAAAACGGAGCTTATAAATAATCACGTTACCATTGAAATAAGTCGTTCAAGAGTCAACTTTTGTTGTTGATCCTCAACGGAAGATAAAGCAGAAGCGGCTTCCTTCCCCAATGTTGTCATATTTGATTTTAGGTCTTGAAGTTTAGCTTCAGCAGATTCCAGTTTCGTCAAGATGTCAGGATGGCCTTGAGACTCCCTCGCCTTCGCCTGGCGTCTGGCAACTTCTGTAGCCTGTTTAGATATAAAGTGGGTGCATGAGTATAAATTATATCATGCTAGTAACAACAACATATGGGTAGTTTTAGAAAGAAGATACGACCATATTTCTAATGAACATTAAATTGCTTCATGGTATTATCTTTAGTGGTACCTGAGCTTCTGCTTCTTGGCGTATTCTGTCATAACGTTGAGCAAGATGTCTAGCATCCTCCAATGGAGCTCCCATGACCATTGCCCGTAATGGCTCAGCAACCTAGAAGTTTCAGGTTAAAATTCCAGATTGAGATGTGATTGTAGTAACAAAATTTTAATAAAGAAAGAAGGAAGCAAACATCAGGAATCTAATCGACTTTAAGGATCATCTATAGGTACATGTAACAAAAAAAAAATCCAGCTAAAGTAAGCAGTCATATCCCTAACCATGGGAAGAGACGAATTCTTTGCGTAGTTACATCACATGAAACTATGCAAAATATATGACTTAGAAAGGTACTAAAGCTTAGCATTTTGAGTGGAAGATGAGAAAGACAAACCTGAGTACCAAGAGCCTTCAACATATTTCCACGCTCTTTCTCCATCTGTGCCCGAGCACGGCCAAAGCTCAGTGCAGCCTTAGTCAAGACGTTACCATTTGTACACGTGTTATCAGAACCATATTTCCTGCTATCCTCAGACAGTTTCGTCCCTGAGGAACAATGAGTGTAAAACGAAAGTCAGACCCGTGAGTAAACTCATGTCTAATAACAGACATAAAAAGATACTAACTCAAGGAGGCAATAGATCACCTATTTCAACTTGTTTGGATCCCGTGACTATATAACCTTCCACCCCACGAACAATATCTCTTTGGTAATGCTGAAAAACTGAAGAGTGTAAGAGTCCACATTCATAGTATAGAAAACTTCAAACATTCAAAGGCTTTTAGAAGAAAAAATGAAACCTTGGCAGCACGGGTGGATATGTAAAGCTTCTCCAGTTTCTGATGCTGATGGAGTTCTGCATCATCGGATAAACCAGAGCCATGTCCTCCTCCTCCAAATTGCTTGAACACAGCCTTAAACCATTAATTCCACAAAACTAAGTCAGTACACTACTTAACCGCACACCCACAAACACCCTCCCCATAGTAAATTAAAACATGTAGCCAACAAAACAACGTTTGAAACACAAGCATCAACCAAAAGCATAACACCAAAACCAGGAGCTGTTACATGTCATTTTCCGTGGTTAACTCATCAATACCCTTTTTTTTTTTTTGAACACTACTCATCAATAACTTCTGATCACCAAACAGATGCTGACATGACAAAACCATCGCATTTGATAAGTCAAACCAAATACCGTATCATACAGAGTAAAACAATCCCAATCTCAAATCGAATCAAAGTAATTAATGACAATCAAATCGAATTCAAACCCAGAAAATAAGAAGCACACACACACAGATCCAAGTGCTCATTAAGTCAAAAGCTTATCGATCCAAAAAAAAAAAAAAAAAGGTAACTACTTTCGTCATCATAGTATTGATTTGATTCAAGAAATTCCACAGAACAAAAATATGGGTTATATAAAAAAACGGGATCTAAGCAAATGGGCAAAAATAAAGTTAAGAAAATTTTGACCTGCTGCTGTCTCGCGACTTGTTCCCTCAGCCTGCTCGCTTGTTTCCTTATTGCATCCATTGCTCAAATCTGATCACACCTTTTTCTCCTTCCACCTTCGACTTCCCTTCGATTACCAGCTCGGCCAATATGAGAGATTCGTAATCGTGAAATCGCGTTGGCCTCCCAAGAAATTTCTCTGCTTTTGAACTTTTTTTTTTTTAATTTTCCTACACTAGAGTCTCTGGATCAGCCGGAAGTTTTCCAAAAGTTGTGTATTGGACTATTTAGGCCCATTGGGCTTAAAATCAAATCCAGTAGCTATTAAAAAAAATTTAAAAGGGAGGGGAAACAAAACTGGGCCGTGCGAAACCCTAGATTAATATATATATAAAAGAACAAGAAGCCTAATATAATTAGGGTTTACTATCTTAGTTGTTGAAGCCGCTTCTTCTTCTGTCATCTTGCTCCTCGTCGTCGGAGATCCCTAACCATGGCTGTCGGGTATGTTCCCCTCACGTTCCTAGGTTACTCTTTTTTCAGATTCTGTGTCTGAATCTTTCTCTCATTTTATAGGAAGAACAAGAGGATCTCCAAGGGTCGTAAAGGAGGCAAGAAGAAGATGTAAGTAAACAACATTCTCCTCTTTATTAAAAAGTTTTCATTTTTATTCTGTATATTTGAGTAAATGTTGGTATTTGATGCAGCGTTGATCCTTTCTCCAAGAAGGATTGGTATGACGTGAAGGCTCCTACTTCTTTCAAAGTGAGAAATGTTGGCAAGACTCTTGTTTCCAGGACTCAGGGTACCAAGGTAAATTTACTTTTAATTTAGAGAGATATTAGGGTTTCACTCCTTGCTTGTTGAGAAAGGAATTAGCTTTAATGTGTATATATGTGATTTTCAGATTGCCTCTGAGGGGTTGAAGCACAGAGTTTTTGAGGTTTCACTTGCTGATCTTCAAGGTGATGAAGACCAATCTTACAGGAAGATCCGTCTCAGAGCTGAAGATGTCCAGGGAAGGAATGTCTTGACCCAGTTCTGGGTATGTTCAAGACCTTTTTTTTTTCTCTAGAAACTCTTTTACAAAGCTTAAACAATGTAGTGTCTTTTGTAATAGGGTATGGATTTCACTACCGACAAGTTAAGGTCTTTGGTGAAGAAGTGGCAGACATTGATTGAAGCCCATGTCGATGTTAAGACCACTGACAGTTACACCTTGAGGTTGTTCTGCATTGCTTTCACAAAGAGACGTGCTAACCAGGTCAAGCGTACTTGTTATGCTCAATCCAGCCAGATCCGTCAGGTAATATATTACACAACGTAACATATGTATGGAAGTTACTGGGGTGTTTACTTAATTCTTTTTGTTTGATCAATGTAGATCCGCAGAAAGATGAGTGAAATCATGGTGAAGGAGGCTTCATCTTGTGACCTCAAGGAGCTTGTGGCCAAGTTCATCCCTGAGTCCATTGGAAGTAATATTGAGAAGGCCACACAAGGCATCTACCCATTGCAGAATGTGTTCATCCGTAAAGTCAAGATCCTCAAGGCTCCCAAGTTTGACCTTGGAAAGCTCATGGAGGTAAGTTTTGATATCACATTTATGTCTTGGTCTTGACTCTTGATTATGAAGAGGGTTGAATCTAACTTTGTTGTGTTCGTTTTTCTTGTTAGGTGCATGGAGACTACACAGCAGAGGATGTTGGTGTGAAGGTAGACAGACCAGAAGATGAGACAACTGCTGAAGAGCCAACCGAAATCATCGGAGCATAGAGGATTATAGATGTCTTTCTTTTTCGTTAAGAAAAAAACTAATGGTTATGGCGCCATTTTTTTAGAGTTTTTGTCAAGAGAACTCTACTTCAGTGTTGACTAGTTTTGAACTCAGCTTTTTTTTTTGTATGGATACTCAAATTTATTACTCTTTTGATTCCAACCTTCAAGTTCTAATCTTAAATCAATAGTTTCTCTAATCTATTTATGAAATTGACAACTTCAATTCTTAGATGTATAAATGCAGATTTGATATAATATTTACTGTTATCATAGATACTTTGAACACAAGAATAGAAAGATCAAGATACTTGGAATATAAGAATACAAAGATCACTAACTTGAGAATAACTTGCATTGATTGTACACAGATTTGAAGCGGTTCCATCACCTTGACATCCTAAAAACATACCAAACAAGAAATGAAAAAGGGGAAGGGTGATGATGCAGATTGAATTGAGGAGTAAGAGGAAATTGTGACACGTTCTCCTTTTGCCCCATTCCACCATCGTCACTCCTCACCCATACCAGCCTGTTCTTTCTTTTCTTATTGACATTATTTTACGTTTTTCCTCTTTGTTTTCAAAAAAATGTAAACCAGCCATTGGTATACACTAGCTTTCGAAATAAAAAGTTAAAGATACATAAATTTGTATAAAGACGTATACGAATATAAGTATAACACCACCAACTAAGGTTGGCCAAAATAAAATCAGTACCAAACTAAGTGATCGTGACGACTGACGACTCGTTCATAAAACCAAAAAAGATTCCAAATTAGGACTCTTATGTTCAAAAGCAGTAAGATATCTGATTTAATATTTGGTGATGATTATATTAATTCGGTTCAGTTAACATAAACTAAGAAGGAAAGCTGCATTATTGAAAGGAAAATACTTTATACATGATGACATGTATTTTTAAAAAAATGAAGATTGTTAAAGGAAGTTGGCTATAGTGGTGGCTTTGGTGAACTCCACTCCATCGGTGGTTTGCATCTTCTCAATATCCATCACTAGCAAAACCCACACTCTTCTTCTTCCTTTTTGTGTAGTGGTATGTATACTCGTATGTTAAAGAACTTTTTTCTTTGTTGAAAAAGAACTTAAAATTAGTTTCCTTTATTTGAACTTTTGTATATGTTGTTTTTGGGTTGGAGTCTTGAAGAGGTGTTTGAACTGAATTTGATTTTCAAAATTGTGTTCATTGATTAAATTTATATTTAATATATTTAGAAATTAGAAGCAATTGATGAAATAACATTTCAACCGTTTAATATTAAGTATCCTTTCGTAAGAAGACGTGGTCAACGCTATTGACAAGAGCAAGCTAAAATAAGCGGTGATATAACCCTTACACAAAAAATTTTAAAATAGCAAATTATAAAAAAAATCATCAATCAAACTGTATTGAAAAATGTGAAACGGACCTGACTTATTAATTTTCTGACGAAAGATAAGCCCAACCAAGCCAAACATCCACGTACAGAACTCATTGATTAGGTCCAAGGAAAAATGAAAATTTGAGAAAATAAATTGACGCAAGCAAACAAAAGGAAATCATAACGTTTTCTTCAGTTTTGTTGCTTCTAAAACAAAACCTAACAAGTAATTAATTAAATAAAGTAGGAACAACCAAAGGTTCAAATAATCAATTCTTTTGAGAAATAGTAAAACCAAATATATATACTATTATAATGAACAAACAAACAGAAAAGCAAAAAAAAAAAAAAAATACAAATAGTAACCCTACCTTGGGAAGACCTTTTACCCATATAAATCCAAGTTATGGATATGGGCAGTAGTTTGATGAATGGAGCCCATAGTATGACGTTAATGTTCAGGCTTGGTGCTGGTTTGCTTAGTCTACGGTCATGTGCTAAATACTGTGCAAATACTATAGAGATAAAGACGATGGCTTATTAAAAAGAAGCTGATCCCCGGTTTTTGATAAATAAACCATATTCTAAATTAAACAAAGAGGTGAAAAGAAATAAAAGGACACATCATTTTACACCAAAATGAAGAGGCAAATAAAGAAGACGTATAGCATTGATTCCGAAACTCCAATCTTAAGAATCATACATGAAAGAAGATTTTGTAATATTCCACAAACTATAATCCATTAAGAAAAAAAAAAAAGAGCTTTAACTTTTGGTATTGGAAGCACATCACACACAAAAACACAAAGTCTCTGTTTCACCTTTTAACCCATTCAAGTATCCCCTCCTTTAATTTCAGTGCCCCTCAGGCTCTTACTTTTCCCATTTATCTATCTATCTCTCTTTCCTCCTCTGTTTCTTCGCCTTCTCTCAGCTTTTCATCTTTATCAGGTAAAGAATTATGATAAGCATATCCCTGCACATATCTCTCTCTCCCTCTTTCCAATTTGTTAAAAAAGTTTGCATGCGCAGACCGGTTTTGTATATCATAAAGTTTAGCTTTATTTAGCTTGTATATGTTATATGTATGGTTCATGGTTGTTGTACTAGTGAGAACTAAAACCATGTCAAGTGTTGAAACTTAAAGAGATTTTATATGTATATGTGTGTATGAAAGAAAGAGTTAATGGAGCTGTGGACAGAAGCTAGAGCTCTAAAGGCAAGTCTAAGAGGAGAAGCTATTAAGCATCAGGTGATTGTATCGTCTGAGGAACTAAGCCGCACTTCTTCTGCTGAAGATTTCTCCGTTGAATATTTCCTCGATTTTTCAGAAGAAGTTCAAGAAGAAGAAGAACTCGTCTCTGTTACTTCTTCACATGAAGAACAAGATTCTTGTATCTTTAGTTCACAGCCTAGTATTTTTGATCAACTTCCTTCTTTACCGGTAAGTTTATAATCTTTCTTATAATTAAAGAAAATTAAGTTGAATTTTTATTTAATATTTTCTGTTTTTTTTTTTTTTTTTTAGGATGAAGATGTGGAAGAGCTTGAATGGGTATCTCGTGTTGTTGATGATAGTTCATCACAAGAAGTCTCACTTCTCTTAACACAAACCCACAAAACCAAACCAAGCTTCTCATCTCGAATTCCGGTTAAACCAAGAACCAAACGGCCTCGGAACAGCATAACCGGCGACCGGGTCTGGCCACTCGTTTCAACCAACCAACATGCAGCAGGAGAGCAGCAGTGGAGGAAGAAGAAGAAACAAGAACCGGTCATTGTGTTTCAAAGAAGATGCAGCCATTGTGGGACAAACACCACACCTCAGTGGAGAACCGGTCCGGACGGTCCAAAAACCTTATGTAACGCATGTGGAGTTCGGTTCAAGTCAGGTAGGCTATGTCCGGAATACAGACCGGCGGATAGTCCAACGTTCTCCAATGAGATTCACTCAAATCTTCATAGGAAGGTTCTTGAATTGAGAAAGAGTAAAGAGTTGGTTGAAGAGACAGGTGGAGGTATTACTAAATCAGACCAAGTCAAATTTGGCAGCCAGGTGGTAGAGAAGACTTAGGTAAAATGTAAACCTACTTTTTTTAGCATTATCTCTAGTGTTGTGTAATTTAACAACTTGCTTCATTACACTGGAAGTTGTTTTGGAATTAGTCTATAAAAAAATGGGTTTCTCTATAAAACACGATTATGTCAAATTTTTAATGATGTGAGAGACCACCACCACTACTACTAAGAATGATTTTGGTCCATGTAAGGTGTTATAGACTTTTTGTAAGTATGTGGCAAACTGTAATAGCTAGTATTTTAGTTATATTTTGCGTATCCTCTGTTATGACCAGAGTTTTTCTATGTCAACACTCAAATGATTCTCCTTAGCAAAGCAGCACAAACGCAGACTTTTTAATAAGCATAAAATGTTTAATATTAGACTGGTGACAACATTATTAACAACAACATAATAGCATGCCCATGTAGTATACTGACTTTCGTATAGCTTCAAGTTATTACTTCATATAATCTGCTACATAGAAACTTACAATAGAAGGACCACAGTTCCATGCATGGACCCTCTGGTCGGTAGTTTCAAAAAGATTATTTCATAAACTAAGTATCAAGAAAAGAGTAGCTTTATCACGTGCTGTCTCTCTGATCTTTCCCCAAGCGTATCCGTTACTGAAGAACTCTAAATCAAGTTTGCTTGGTTGCTCCAAGAGAACTCTTCTCACAACACGTGATTGCAAAGATTCCTGATAGTTTGTCCCTAAAAACTAGCTCACCAACAAAAGATGGTACAAGAAATCGAATGAAAGCATAATAGAGTAAAACAAATTATAAAGTCAAAGTATTCACGAGAAACATAATAATCTATATGGCCTCAGAAAATTTGGTTGATTCTGGTCCAAATAATAACAAATAAATAAGTAGTCAACAATCCGTTGTAGTCTAGCTGGTTAGGATACTCGGCTCTCACCCGAGAGACCCGGGTTCGAGTCCCGGCAACGGAGCTTTTTTGGTTCAGTTTTTGGTTCAGTTTTTGGTTCAGTTTTTGGTTTAGGGCCCAGTCTAGTAAAACATCCCCTTTTGGACCATGAATTGGGTTCATTTATTAATGGGCTAATAGCCCAACTAAAATTTCCTCCTCAGTCCCTCTACCTGGTTCAGAAGGTTAGACGAAGAAGAAGAAGTAAGAGAGTGTAAGAGAGAGACTCGAAATCAAACCAGAAAAACAAAAATGAGCGGAGTATCGACGGCGGCGTATTTTGCGCGGCGAGCGGCGCAGAAGGAGAGAGTTCGAATCCTCTATCGACGTGCTCTCAAGGATACTCTCAATTGGGCTGTCCATCGCCATATCTTCTACCGCGACGTAAGCTTTTTCCCCTCGCATTCACAAATCTCGCGTTTCGGTTTTTGATTCGGTTATCTTTGTTCCTCTTCTCAGGCTTCTGATCTGCGTGAGAAATTCAATGCCAACCAAGACGTGGTATTACTCTCTTCCCATTACGCCTAGGTTGTTCAGACTCTCTTTGTATGTATAAAGTTTAATGCTTTTTCTAATGTTTGATGTGAAATCTTCAAGCTTTGTTTCACACGTGCGTGTGTACAATGCTAATGTTCCATACTTCACACTCTAGAACGAGCTCTGCTTTTATATGCGATCCACTAGCTTGTAATTAAGCTTTTGATTAGATTACTACAACATTGGTGTTTGTGAATTTAAAGTTTTGAGTCTGTTGTCTATGTTTCTCATTGTTTGTTTGTTGATATGGTCATGTGTAGGAAGATGTTGACAGAATCGATAAACTGATTGCTCATGGTGAAGCAGAGTACGACAAATGGCGACACCCTGATCCTTATATCGGTTAGCATCTTCTAACCGATTTAATTAAATGTTTGTTAGGTTTATGGAAGGCCTGTTATTATAGAGAACAAGAACGGCTCCACTTCTTGAGTTGGATTTTAAATGACGCACGTTTACTTTTTGTTTTGTAGTTCCATGGGCTCCTGGTGGCTCAAAGTTCTGTAGAAACCCCACTCCGCCTGCTGGGGTAAATTCTTTCTTCTCAACACTCGTCATTATCCATTGTTATAATCCTCACTTTCTTATTCACAAGTTCTCTCATCTTCTTGTGTCACTGATGCAGATTGAGATTGTGTACAACTACGGTCAAGAAGACAACCCATAAACCTTACTTTCCTTATTTTCATACATATCAATAAAAGTAAGTTGGATCATTGATCAGAGGCTCATGTTGCCTTCGTAGAAAATGTTTCGTTTAAGTCTCATAAATGTCCCAGGATACATGACTTAACGTAAACTACTAAGTTGTTAAAGTTTCAATGGTGGTTGTTTATCGACTGCAGATTCAACAGATTGAAGCATCCGGTGGCTTTATGTTTCAGAAGATTTATTCAAGAACTTTCAAGGTTGAAACTTTGAGGAACCAATTGTAGTTTTTAAAGATGTTTCGTTCCAATAAGACGCTTAAGTTTTGAAGATGTTTCGAACTTGGTTTGTATTTCTTCATGAGAAAATTATTTCCAGCTGCTCTTTAGCTTCCAAACATGTGAATGAACCACAATTAATTATGGGGTAATTTCAAATTTATCGCCAACAAAGTTGAAGCTACTTTTCAAATTTACCCTTAAAATGATAACTATTTACTTAAATATCTTTTATTGATAGAAACTTAAACCACACGACCACCTCTCTCACACTCAGAGGTAGTACCTACTCAACCCTGAGATTATTGAACGCAGCTGAAAAGAGAGTTACTCACTGATGCCCTCCTCGGTCGCGAGATACGGCATGTTGTGGAACGAACGGTCGAGACAAGCAGCCACATTCTTGTACTCATTGTCATCTTCTACTTCTTCACCACCTCCTTTGGTACGCATCACTTCCTCTGCTCGGTGCTTTAATGTCTCAAACATTAGCTCAGGCTCATGCTGCACTGCTCGGAGAACATCAGAAGTGGACTGGCCAGGCACGGCTCTGGTCACTGCAAAGCCATGTGGCCCATCACTCTGCAAGACACGGACAACACTTGGCCCGCCAAAGAGATTATGAAGTCCACCCATAGACTCCTCATAAGACCCACCAAGGAATAAACCCAATAAGTACCTTCCTCCACCTCCATAGCTGTCTATCTCATGCAACGGCAAGCTAGACTCGCCGCCTATGAACTTATCAATCCTCCCATCACTGTCACACGTTAAATCAGAAAATACCCCACGAGCCTCAGGCTTTTGATCGAGCTTGTGGATAGGAACTATAGGAAACAGCTGTCCACACACCCAGTAGTCAGGAGTCGAAGTGAACATTGATAAGTTGATGTTGTAAGCCTGAACCGGATCCGACCCATTTATAGCTTTCAAAACCCATTCACATAACCCGTCAACAGAAGCTAACTGCTCGATGCTCAAAACACCATCCTTGAAACCCTCAACACATCTCTTTTTTAGCTGTTCCACGTAAAGTAGAGACTTTTCTTGGTCTCCACGCATCACAGCAGCGTAAAGATCTTCCTCACCTCCGAGCAGGAACTGGATTTCATCAGGCTTTGGTTGGTGAGCCATTGGTTTAACATCGGAGGCAGCTTCAAAGATCAACACAGAGTGATGAGAGACTGTTGCTCTTCCACTTTCACTGCATATCACCGGATGTTTCACCGATCTCCGGTCACATACATTTCTGTTGATGGGAATAAACAACAAATTGAGGTAAGTATCCGTTTTAGGGTTTGTATATTGATTATGTATATGAATAATTTACAATTCATTAGACTCGTATTCAAACATTACTCGTCCGGCCAAAAACATATTAGTCTCTTAATGGTGGACAGAGATGTAAAACGTTTCCATAATTAAAGCAAAACAAATTAAGATAAATACTAGTTTTAGGGTTTGTATATTGATTATGTATATGAATAATTTACAACTCAATAGACTCGTATTAAATCATTATTCATCCGGCCAAAAAAAATATTAGTCCCTTAATGGTAGACAGAGATGTAAGAGCATATGCAACCAACCATGAGATTCATAGTAGTCCTTATGAAAAATGGTATTTCAGATTTGGTAAGAATAATTCAAATTTTTTTTTCAAAATAAAAAAAAAAAGAAAAAAAGTATGACCATTTGCGGACTGTCACGTGTCTTGTGGACCCGCAAATAGTTTAAGAATTCACTAAGAAATCTTTATTTAGGGATTTTAAGGATCGAATCTTTAATTTTTTATAGGATATCGATTATTTAATTATTTTTTTTCTAAAGACTTCCGTTGCGAATGCTGTAATACATTTGCAGAATTAACAATACCTTATAGAAGCTACAACAGTTTCAGCATACTCCAGGAGAGTATAAGCAACAGATATATGACCTTCTCCAGACTTAGACCCGTCATAGTCAATCCCCAAACCACCACCAACATCAATAACTCTCATGTTAGCACCAAGACGCACAAGCTCACAGTAAAGCTGAGCAGCTTCGGAGACACCATCAGATACCAAAGAAGTCGATGGAATCTGTGAGCCAATGTGAAAATGCAAGAGCTGGAGACAGTCAAGCATACCAAACTCTCTAAGCTTCGCCACGACACGAACAATCTGAGCACTAGTCAATCCAAACTTCCCCTTTTCACCAGAATTGGACCCGTAATGATTAGTTTGTTTGGTTCTAAGCTTAGCTCTTAACCCAATGACAGGCCTCACGTTCATCTTTTTGCTCAGGTCGATAACAAAGTCAAGCTCATGTTCTTGCTCGAGGACAATCATAGTGTTGAACGCAAGCTTTCTCCCGAGGAGAGCCAAAGAAACATACTCCGCGTCTTTGAAGCCGTTACAGATGAGAAAGGCGTCAGGGTTACCTTTACACAAACAGTTCATAGCGAGAAGGATCTCCGGTTTAGAACCAGCTTCCAAACCAAACCGGAAAGGAGAACCGAAATTCACGATATCCTCCACAATGAACCGGTCTTGGTTGCATTTAACCGGAAAAACACCTTGGTAATGAGAACCGTACTCCTGACTCTTAACCGCGAAATCGAACGCGGAGTTGAGACACTCGACCCTGTGCTTCAACACGTCAGGGAACCGTACGATGAGAGGGAACTGCAACGCTAAACCACCTGAGGATTTGGGATCGGTAACACTCTTAACTACATTCATTAGATCGATGTCTTGGTGAGGCAGAGTGTTGGAGCCATGAGGGCTAACGGAGATGTTACCGGAAGAGTTTGCGGCGAAGTAAGGAGCTCCCCATCCGTCTATGCCGTATAGAGAGGCGGAGAGAGAGGGATTCCAAATGGAAGAGATGTCGGAGGAGGAGGAGGAAGTTGGTGACGTCGGGATAAACACGTCAGCGGCGGTGGGGAGAGAGGTGTCGCTGGAGAATATGTAACTATTATCGATGCAACCTAAAGCAGGCATTTTTTTAGAGAGAGAGGGATTGAAGAAGAGAAGCTTGAGGATGATGAGGCAGATTACACTCTACTTGTTTATATAAAGGGAGGGAAAAGCAAGCAGACAGATTTGGGCCGTGGGGACTATTTCCTTTTTTAGCATTAGATTTTATTTCCTAGATTCACCTGGGTGCTCTTTTATCTATTAACTAGGATAAGACCCGCGCCTTGCGCGGAATGAAGCTATTTTTTTATTATGTTTTTAAATATGAAACAATAGTTCGGTTTCATTCGGATTAGAGGTGTTCAATCCGGATATCAGAATTCGGTTCGGCTCGATTTTTTGGTATTTCGATCATTAAAATATAACTAATTCTAAATCTATATGTACTTCAGTTTGATTTGGTTTATATACCATCGGTTTTCAGTTTATTCAATTTTATACCAAAAAACATAATTATTTAGTTTGAGATTATATTATATATTATACAAATATATAATATGATCATATTCAGAGTCATATTGTCACAGAGTCATTTATTAAAAAATATTATATATTTAAGTAAAAGAATAAAAAACAAAAAAAGCTTCTATCATCTAATAAAATGATCAAATCTAGAATTAATATCAAAACACTAAATTTTGAAAATAAAAATTAAAAACAAAACAGAAGCATGAAAGAAAAGTTTTTATATTCTTCCATATTAGTATTCATCAAACCAATATGTCTTCGATTGAACACAACTCTGTTTGTTTAAAGATAAAAAAAAGTTGTAAAGAATTTCAACTAATTGTTGTCCATCAAATTTATAATCTTTACTTCAATTTAGTTACTGTTAAAAAAGCAAAAGATCAAAATAAGAAGTCTTAGTTGTAATAAATTGTTAACTATTTACAAATTATAATTATAGTTCAACTCATGTAACAAATAGATATTCATGCGTCGTTATAAATATATACATATTTACATGTTTCAATTTAATCGATTATAAATCAAACCATATCCAAATCATATGGTTTTTATAAAATCACATCCATTCGGTTTGTATGGTATATACCAAAAATAACCATATTATCGATTGTTAATATCTTTTAAAAATATAAAATTAAAAAAAGAACTAAGATACTTAAATCATTGATAACAAAAAATTTTAATGTGAAAAATTTAATAAGTTTATAATTTATAAATGTTCTTGAAAATTTTGAAATTAAAATATTTATGTAAGCTTATATGGTATATAGTTTAATCTGCATATATATATTTTTTTATTATTGAATGATACTTTTTACTTATATGGTTTTAAAATCATGTATATCTTTTTTATAATAAAATGTTAAACTATTGATCATTAATTTTTAACATAATAATTTTAATAGTTTAGTTATTTATTCTCGTCGTTTCTTAAAATTCAAAATATAACTTATACTAAAAAATCTAAAGTTTAATTTTATAGCTAATTTGATTGTTTAATTTATTTTAATAATATAAAATTAAAGAAAAATGATAGAGGATATATAAACTGTTATCAAATATTTATTATTAGAATCATTAATTGTCATATATATATATATATATATATTAGTCATTTATGGTAATTCCGTAGATTTTATTTATGGAAATAAAATAAAATAGTAATTATATCTTAGGGAACAATCATTAAGTGTCATATATATATATTAGTCATTTATGGTAATTCCGTAGGTTTTATTTATGGAAAGAAAATAGCATATCATATCTTTATATCATATAGTTTGACTAATTAATGTATCTATCAACCTATAAAAATCCAATGTGGACTTACTTATTTTTTAATTGAATCTAATTGACTACCTAATTGAATGACACCTATACATTGGGGCCTCTTTTAATTAATACAAAATTGAGGTTACATCTTTTCAAATGTTCCTCAATTAATATATAGGGGATTACCATTTCTCTGATTAGTATAAAAGGTTTATAACCAAACATGTCTACGCATTATATCACCAACAAAGTCAATTAGAAATATAGCTACTGTTTCTTCAATTTAAATTTTGTTATCTGACAGAAAATTTTAGTAAAAAATAAAAATATATACATATAAATAAATTAATATCAAATGATGATGATCTGATACTTTTTTTTTTGTAAACTGCTTGCAAAATGATGATCTGATATTAGTGTTACCATTATATAATTATGCGGACTGAAATTCTTGTGACCTGTTACGTAAATATAACAATTTCAATTAAAAAAGTATAAAAAAATAAATTAATATTAAAAGATGTTATGATATTAGTGTTTTACCATTATATAATCACGTGGACTGTTTTTCCAAAAAAAAAAAAAAATCACGTCGACTGAAATTCTTGTGACCTGTTATATATATAGAAAGTAAATGTTGTTGCCTATATTGGTTCTCATTTTGAACCTGGTACTTCTACCCGTAGGAAACGGTTTTACTGGAACAAGATTTTGTGTTGGTAATAAACACTCAGCTAGGAGTAGTTGCATGATGTCTCCTATGTGCTTCTTCTTTACTCTCTATTTTTAGGTTAGAAATTTTTAACATGTATAGCTCGTCTAAGTTACTAATTATAGAAGATGATTAAAAGTAAAATATCTTCGTTAAATTGTTATCAATATACAAGTGTTCCTTTATATACAAGTGATTAAGAGTAAGTTAGCTATATGTGATTTACTTACGTCAATATTAAGTGCATACAATTAACTTTAATAGGCCTCTCAAGATGGTGCCATAACACTGTGAAGATCCATCTTGGACATCAATCTATTGAAAATTGTAGGGTGAAGAGGTTTAGTCAAGGCATCAGCCAACTGATTTTCAAATCTAACATGAAAAGTCTTCGGCCGATCAGCTTGAATCTTCTCACGGATAGAATGGCATTCACGCTCTATATGTTTGGTTCTTTCAAGGAAAACATGATTCTTGGCAATGTGCAATGTTGCGGTATTGTAACAATAGAGAATATAACATGAGTAGAAAGTGAAGGACAACCCAAATCAGCAAGCCTTCGTGTCAACCACATGATCTCATTCTCAGTAGCAGATATCGCCATGTATTCAGCCTTGACTGAAGAATGAGAGACAACATGTTGTTTGTTGGACTGTATGACTCAGTTCTAATTCTAATAGTTACTGTCTTTGTTTTACTGCATGGCCCGATATTATCAAGATCCGAAAGGACCACATCGAGCTAAGTAGACCAAGACTTATTTTCCAGTTGAATGGATCAGATTATTCCACGTTTTAGTTTTGTTGAATGATACAACCTTAACCAATTTTCTTGGCTGTTAATACCATATTTTAAATGTGCGTACTGGCCATGCTTTATTTGGAAGTATGTAATAAATTGTTATCAGCCCTCTACGTATTAAGCGGGGCATCCTTTATTTGGAAGCATGGAAATAAATTGTTGTCAGCAGTCTACGTATTAAGTTAAACCTATGTCAGAAAGTGTTCTACTTTCTTATCATATATATGTATGCGTTCATCGGAAGTTCAGAACCATTTTCCGGAACGATCTTTAAGGTATTTTATCAAAGGATACTATATTTTTGTGTTAAAAGTTGACCAAACTATTGGATGACATGTCATACACTGATACACAAACAACATTTGAAGTGGATTATGTTGCTAATGTTACATACGACATAAGTCTCAAATGATGAACAATGACCGAAAAATTATTGTCTTGGTAACCATTCGAACTAATATACAACGTAGTAAGAAATAGTTGTGGTTTTCAGTTAAAACAGGCTTCATCTTTGGGGCAAACTCATTTTTGTTAGCTCAGTTCATCAACGGAGAAACTATAGGAACTATATTGGAATATAAAAAACGACATATTTATATTCAAACAGTATAACTAAGATTGCGGATCACATCACAGTATAAGATAATCAAAAACTAATAAGAAAACTTAATTAAGAAAAATACAATTTGCTTCACAATCTGTTCAAAATACAAACAAATACCATGGATTTTCTATTTCCAGAAGTAAATAGGCCATGTATATTGATAGTTTCTCACTGGAAAACTCAATAATAAATAATTTAGAAAAGACAAGAAACAGTGTTTCTGGGAAGAAATCCATATAGATCTTTTAAAAACTGTAATAACACGTGTAACAGTTTGATTTATTCAGTTATTAAACCAATAAAATTAATTAATTCTTGTAAGAGTGTCTCTTGTAGTCTCTTAAACATTTACAATGTTTATTTTAGATTTTTTTTTCTTTCTAAAAACTCTCTTATAGAAAAGTTTTGTTCTAATGAATGTCTTTATAGTTCTTTTTTCAGTATAGATGAATTTTATTTTTATTTCTATATTAGAGATAAAGACAGATGGAAGGATATTTTAGACTATGATTAACTTTAATCTTTTAACTGGGATTCTTAGTTTCAATTAAGAAATAATTCTAAGAAAATATATAAAGACAGATGGAAGGATATTTTAGACTATGATTAACTTTAATCTTTTAACTGGGATTCTTAGTTTCGATTAAGAAATAATTCTTAGTTTTTTTATATTTTAATTAAGAAAAACTAAGGATTGTCTCTTAAATAAGAGATATAAGAATCATCTATTAATAAAAAAATAGAAAAAATAATACTCCCTCCGTTCCTATAAGATCCATGTTCTGGGAAAATATTTTGTTTCAGAAAGATGTATATTCTATGTTTTCTATGAGAAAATTACAAGTTTCAAAAAAATTAATTGGTTATATTAGATTACTATTGGCTAAAAATTGTTGAAAATTGAAAGTTACTGAAAACGATAATGATTTAATGTATTTTCTTAATATGTGTGAAAACATTAGAAAATCTATCTTTTAGGAACACAGTAAGTAATTAAATTATAAGTTAAAAATTTCAGATAAAAGACCGGAATTAATCATACCCTAACAGACGTCTCAAAGGGTGAGGACTTATTTGCGGCCCCTGTAATTAAAATTGTTTATTACCTGTCTCTCCAACTAAATGTTTAACAATTAAAGCACGTTTATACATTTATTACAATAGTTATTGCGAATGTGAAAGGTTACAAAGTTGCAGAAAGATTTAGGTGTTGATTGTTACTTGTTTTTAAAATGGTTTTCTGGTTTTTGTTTTTCAAAACCCATTTTTTTCTTCCAATCAAGTTTTTGAAGAAATAAATTTCTAAAATCTAGGGAAACAAATTTTTGTAGTAGTTATTTAATTCAAACCAAAAACCAAAAACCAAAAATTGTGTTTTTCTGATTTCTATCAATTTATGTTGATTCTTGTATTTTTTGTATTTAAAGATTTGATTTTTATGTAATAGAAATTTTCTCATATTTATCCATGATCACCCTCCTCCCTACATATATATATATCACCAACATGTATACTAAAATCCATATATTTATTGAAAATATAACAGAAACTCATTTACATATTATTCACCAATTATTTGTGTTTAATGAAAAACAAGAACACGGACAATCCCATTAATTTATACTCTTTCCGTTTCATTTTAATTGTCATTCTACATTTTTGCACACAGATTAAGAAAACATTTAATTTTACATATTTTCAAGAAAAAACACAATTACCTATACACCTAACCATTTTCAACCAATAGAAAAATAGAATATTATATAAAAGAAATAAATTTTATTTCGAAACTCTAAAACGACACTTATTTTGAAACGATTTTTTCTTCCAGAATGACAATTAATTCGAAACGGAGGGAATATATATTTGGACATGTAAATAAATAAATTTAAATTTATAAGGATTAGATTTTTTAAAAAACTTATCAATAAAATTAACTTAATTGTTTAATATTCATTTTATTTTAAATTTCATACATTGTTCAAAAGAAACTGTTGTCCTATAAAGACCTTCTAGAAACATGTATACTATGTTATAAATAAGAGGAGAAGAGAAACAAAAAAAAATAAGTAAAACCTGAAAAACAAAAAAAATTATTAAAAGTTTTTAATGGACACCACTACAATATCGGAACACTTCCATTGGTGTTTATTATACCGAAACGTGTAAGAAACATTTCGTTAAAAAATTTACTAGGTAAACTTGATGGGAAACATCCCTTATATATTATTTGAGAAGCATTACAACATGTTTTGGTAGCTACATGTCATCATGAGAATGCTTCTCAAATTTACTAGAGAAAAATGTTGGTCCATATAAACATATAATATACTTTTTATTAAACTAAACATAAACTATTATTATTGCTTTTCATTATTTCCTTAAATAAATTTACGGAATTACCTAATATGGTTATAAGATATATATGACAATTAATGATTCGAATATGAAGATTTGATAAAAAAATTTATAGGCTCTACTATTTTTGTTAAATTTATATTATGAAAATAAATTAAAAAATAACATTAACTATATAACAAAAAATATTAGATTTTTTTATATATGTTATATTTTGAATTTTAAAAAATGACTATAAATTAATAAAACATTTAAATATTTCACATATAATATTTTTTATTAATAAATGTCCTATATATTAATCATGGAACATTACAACATTTTTTTGTAGC